GATGCCAAGCGGCCTGGGACCCTCTGCCCTGGCACCGCCTTGTGCCAGGGAGACACATCGCAGGCAAACAGAGATGTGGCCGTGTCACCCGATCGAATCAGCTGCCCCGGGCTATCGGTGTTTCTAGAGGTTTGGTTGCTAACTCGGTTCTCAGGCTTTTTATGCTGCTGCTATTTTAGTACGTCTGAAACGTGCAGGAAAAGGAATCCGGAGGCTCTGTCTCCTGCGGAGATGTTTATGTTGACCCAATTTGGGATGCTGCAGAGCAAAAGCCACCGCACTCTGCCTCCAGATCCAGGCGGCAGCGCAGTCACCTGCTCCTGCTTTTGCCCGCACGTACGGTGAGAGCGAGTCGCTGGTCGTTGTGGTCAGGCTGGACCACGCACCAAGGCTGCACCCACATGCCAACACGGGGCAGGAGCTGCTCCACCACCAGACAGGAGGTATCTGGGTGGTTTCAGCCCCGAGATCCCTACCTGCCTCACTTAGAGCTCTTTAAACACCCAGCACAGTGTGTCTCTCTCCTCCCGGAGCAGTGGGTCACCCACCAACGGCCTGAATCCGATCCCCGGGGGATGAGATGACTCCAGCAGATTGACACTGGCCCAGACAGCTCCTCGGTGGCAGCCCCAGCCCCAGAGCCCAGCAGATGGGAAGCGTTAACGACACCCGTGCAGGGCAGGAGGGCCCGACGGTGCTTCAAACCCACCCCACGCACACGTTCGTCTTGCCAGCGCTGCTGGGACAACGCTCTCAGGCCAGGCTGGAGCTCTCCAGTGTGGGAACAGCGCTGGTGCTGCCTTGCCAGGTATGAAAAACAGCACTCATCAAAAGACCTTTCTGTGCTTTGAGGCCCATCAGTGGGGTCCAGATCAAACGCTTGAGCCCATCGGAGCACGCTCCGAAGGGGCACATCTCCGCACCACGGCTCCCATGACCTCGGCCTTTTACTGAGGACCCGGAGATCACGGCCTGAACCTCTCCCTCTGCATTCAGCCCTGCCCTAGAGCCGAGCTCTCGGGGAAGGCTGCACGCTAGGTCGCGTGGCCTCAGCTGTCCAAATACAGATGCTGGGAGGCGTCGGCGGCAGCCTGCTCGCCGGCGGGCGCCCCGCCCCCGGGCACGCGGGCGCAA